CGGGCGGCGGCGGCGGTGGCCGGGCCCGCGAGGGCCGGATCTGGGCCCCGCGGGCCACGCGACGGTGGGAGGCGGCGGCGACACATGGCGGCGCGCGAGTGGAGGAGGGGGGCGGCGGTGCTGAGGTGTCGGCTCCCGATTGGCTGGAGCGATGTGGCGGCGGCGGCGGACACGTCCAGCGGCGGGACGGACATGTCCGGCGGCGCTGAGGGAGGAGTTTTAGGGTTTCGGGGAAAAGATCCGAAAACGAAAATGAAGGGGTCTATTTATAGAGGTAGAGGGAGCTAGGAAGCTCCAAATGAGGTGCGGTTTGCAGCCACGCGATCGTGATCGAACGCTCTAGATGATGGAAATGTTTTTGGTGGGTTTTGGGCCAAATTGGAAGGGTGTTGGGCTGCAACACAAATGAGGCTTTATCGGTCCCTCGGTTAACCGTTGGAGTATCAAACGAAGTCCAAATGGCACGAAACTTGATAGGCGGTCTATCGGCAGTAAACCAAGGCCACATGACAAGTCCCGGTCCAATCCGAGAACGTTTAACACCCGCACACGAAAAGAGGTAGAAAGGGGCACCGGGTGACATAGGAGCGCCGAATTGCAAAACGGACAACGAGGAAAATGCTCGGATGCATGAGACGAACATGTATGCAAATGAAATGCACATGATGACATGATATGGAATGCATGACACGCAAGCAATGACAAGGCAACAACAACGAATAACTGGAGGACACCCGGCACATCGGTCTCGGGGCGTTACAAAGGAGCACGACGACATGGTCGTCGACAAGGAGGCCGCCCTCAAATGGGCGCGGGGCGACTACGTCCAGCTGGAGCGCCAGCGCCAGCGCCACGCCTCGCCCTCGAAGAGATCCCCGCGGCCCGACGAGGGCGGCGTCATAGTCCTCGAGGACGAACTTTGATCGTGGACGAACTTTGATCGTCTTCACCGCATCTTTGATCCGGCGCTGCAGCGTCGCCGAGCGGCCGAGCGCGCTTGGTTCAAAGCAAAGGAGGCAGCCGCCCCCGGGGACGAAGCCCAGCGGTGCGGGTGTCGACGAACCGGGAGGAGTACGACCTCACATACGTGCTCTGCAACTCCCTTGTAGTGCACCACCTCGGCATGGGCAAGTTCGGCTCCGGCTCCGGTGAAGACGAGTAGAACTCCGGCGATCTAGTTTAAGTTTGATATCTAGTCTAGTTTAAGTTTAACTTTGAACTATCTAGCAAGTGGCGTGATATGTGTGGAACTATGTTTAATTTGCTCGCATGAACTATGTTGGCGTGAACTATTAGTTTAAAAATCAAGTAAGAACTTGGACGCTGTTTACTAGATGTATTTTGTTGATCCGTTTGTCATCCCGTAAATTTTATTTATTTAATATGTGGAATACCGTAAATAAAATTTGTAGGATGGCGGTTTATCGGATCTGCAAGAGACAGATAAAAACAGACATGATGGAGCAAAATGGGTCCTGTTAGAGTTGCTCTTACAGTGTACTGCACGTCAGTAAGTTGAAGGACTACTTTTTCCGAATAAAAAAGGTTATTGGTGTGATTTTCTCAAAACCAGCGTGACATCGGCACAATTATCGAACGAGTTGACCTCCGCATCGCAAGTATTCTCTCTGTTCTCTCGGCCATTCTTGACCAAGTCACCCCAATTCCTCTCTAGAACCCTAGAATCGCCAATTGCTACCGCGAGATCCCTGCTGGGGTCTCACAGAGCCGGAGGGTGGAGCCTTAGATCTCGACTGCACCGGCGCTGCTCCTCCCTCCCGTGGGCCGGGGTGCAGTAAGCCACCTCGCCGGGGGACGATGCAGAGCGCGACGCGGCTGACTCTGCTGCTGTGCGCGGCGTGGGTAGCCGCGCTGCTCTACGGCGAGATGGGCGCCTACTGGGCCGCCCACCTCTCCTGCTCCTGGCCATCCGCATCCTCTTCCTCCCCATCGCCGGTCAGTAATAAATGCCGTCGATTGGGTCTGGACATTCAGTTGCTTTTTTGAGAGTCTGGATTGGGACGGGGTAAAAGCATCTCTAGCAGCTTGGAGCCCTCCCAATCCTGACCAAAATGCTAATTCGACCTTCATCTCGCCCAAGTCATGCTAGGCAGTGAAACTTCCATTTCTACCGCTCATTATTTGACACTAGCCCAAGTTTGCAGCTTTACCTTATTATCGTATTCCGTTTATTGTGCAGAGTAACCATGTCAAGGTTGCCGTCATTGCTGATCCACAGGTCAGTTTCCCTTCTAACATTACATCATGTAATTGTGCCGATAAACCCAAAGTAGTACATAGTACAAAATATCTTCCAGTATATGTTGCTCCCTTCTGAAAGGTTTTCCCTTGTAGCTTATGGACAGCACCTCCCTTGGTCTACCACGAAGCTCAGTTGCACTGCAAGCTGCAGAGTTCTTCACAGATTTGAACATGAGAAGATCCTTCCAGTCTGTGATATTGCCGTTCAAGCCTGATGTCGTCTTATTTCTCGGTGACTATTTTGATGGGGGCGCACATATATTGGATGAAGAGTAAGGCACGGGTGCTGAATTCTTTTTTGCCTTTTAAATGTTGCAACAAGTTTGCTTTTTCAACATTCCATCTGATGCCAGCTGGTCGCTCCGTACCTTGTTGGTTAGAAACCACAATTGTTTGTTTGTATGTGCTTTAGAGAATGATGGTGTTATATGAACTGGTATGACTGAATATGCAATAAGATATATCAACAGGGAAAATAATTTCCAAGACACCTTAATTGTCCTATATCTGTGATAATCATATTTCATCTCAAGTGTCTCATAAATGAATAAATAGAAACTTCCAGTCCTTGTTCTCTGCATTCAGATTCATTGTTTTTACCACTTTACCTTGCCGGAATGATGACATACGAGATAGAGTTGGGGTAGCACCGATTGAAGAGAACCATGAGTTGGTTGCGAGATCTTATGGGTTTCACCTCTAGCCTACCCTAACTTGTTTGGGACAATGTTGCCATTGTGGTTTACAAGTTATGCCATATCTCCCACAAAATCATCAAAGGGTTCTAGGTTCCACTTTATCTACCCGCAAAAAAAAGGTTCCACTTTATTTATTTATTTATTTCCTAATTTATGTTGAAAACTTTCCAGGTGGCAGGATTCTCTATTCCGATTTAAGCATATATTCAGCATGAGCGAACAGAGGACAAGTCCCCATGTCCCAATCTACTATCTTTCAGGAAATCATGATATCGGTTACTCAGCATTTCACTCAGTTCATCCTGAGGTGATTGACTATCATTGACTACTTCTCGTGACTTCCATTTGTATATTTACATTTTTCTCAAATCTCAAGTGATTGTTCCCTTTATGAAAATATTGTTTCCACGGATGAGTTGCTTGCCATCGCCAGCTAATAATTCTTTGCCTTGTTCGCGGATTCAATTCTCTAACGCGAGAATTCCAACCTTTTTCCCCAAGCTGCTGAATGGAAGTTTTGATGCGCTGCATATGTCCTAAAATTATTGAGGGATGCCCTCTTTCCCGTCTCGTAGTCCACCTAATTGTCTTTACTACGGGGTGCAGCTACGTCATGTATTATCTTCAGTTTGGTGCTTCCTTGGGCTGTAGTGGCCACCCGCTAGCAGCTCAAGGATGAGCTGCATGCCAAGGAGGGGTGTGATGTTATGTACGGAAGTACATGCCCCACCATGGAAGCTTCCATTTATGGGATGCGATCCCCAATCTCTATGTTAGGTAGTCTATCTGTAAAACTAGGAAGGTACTCCCTCCATTCCGAATTACTTGTCTTGGATTTGTCTAGATACGGATGTATCTAGACTCATTTTAGTGCTAGATACCTCCGTATCTAGACAAATCCAAGACAAGTAATTCAGAACGGAGGGAGTATCTCTTAGCTCTGGCCTTAATCTAATTGGAGATAAGATCTATGATTTGTTACTTAGATTGGATTGCTAGCCCCCTACATAAGGAGGACCCCATAAATGAGGAATAAAGCAAGCAAGAATTAGAAGAATAGTTATTCTATCTCCCCTCCAGGGATGAGAGCCTCTCCCTAGCCGTAGTACACAACGGAAATAAATTAAACCAATCATGTATTGAATCTGTTTTGTATCGGGGATTGGCAAAGTAAGTCCATGTTGTTTGTTTTTTACTTTTGGAGATATATGCAGATTTGTATTTTGGTGACAGTGCTACAGAGCATAAACAACAGCTTTAATAGAGAGTCTTAGATCGCTGCTTTGAACAAGGAAAATAATCATGCAACCGTGAAGAATTTTAGCTATTTCACGGTGCATGTGTGTGATTACAAGTATCCACAACATTGTGATTTTGTGTAATGTACTCAGTTTATCGTTGCATGGTTATGATGTTCTTTTACCGGATGGTCCTGTAAGAAGTTTATGGCCGTGCACTGACATATCAGTTATCAACCTCTAGATAAAGCTAGCCCACCTCAAGATGAAGATTATTTTCACACTGTTCCTCATTTTTTGGTTACCCACACCCTCAGACATGGTGCAACCTCTTGCTCTCAGTGATTTTTGGCATGAATTTGCACTCTCATCAAGGACATAGCCAATGATCAGTATTTTTTTTTTTGCTAAGTGTTGTGAGCTTCTTGTATTGGATCATCATTTTTTAGTACTTGCTCTTGGTGGGTTTCTGGTCTTGTTGAATGGGTGTTCATAACATGCCATTGCACCCTATTCATGTTTGTCCTCTCTGCTCTTAGTGTCTTTATTGTATAGTTACTTAAAGGCATGTGCATTTTATTTTATTTTTTGCTTTTTTTAACTTGCAATTATTTGTCAAATTTGGATTTACTGTCCACATCCATAACTGGAACTACATAGATAAACATATTTGATATAGATACATTTGACCTGATGTAGTAGCTTGACGAGCTTCAAGAAATGCTATGAGCATACTTTTCAAAACACTCAGGCTGCCTCGTTTGACTTGGAATTATTTCTCAAATTTAGGTTTACAGACAACATGTTTTGACTGAAATTACAGATAAACATATTTTGTATACAAGAGTTTCCACCTGATATAGTTATGAAGAAGCTTGGCAAGCTTCAAGAAATACCAATTGGAAAGTCTGGCAAAGACGCATGTATTTTGCAACTCAGCCTACCCGCTAACCTGCGATGATCTGAAAATGCAAGTGTGCTCTGAAGCTGGACGTTTTTTCTTTGTGACTTAAGTGATTGTCTAACACCAGAGACATCCTCATCTGAAGGAACATCAACATTTTTGTAGACACTTCTTGCATCGTTCACAATAACACATTTCTGAGTGCTCATTAAACATCCGAGATGTACTCATCCAACGGAAACATCAACGTGTTGAAAGACTCTTTCTGCGCTATTAGCAACAATGGCACGCATGAAACGTGAGTTCACCTATTCTTTGATTGCCTTTCAGCCTTGCCTGTGAGCATAAGCTTGACTTATAGTGGGTGGCAAGTACAATTCTGAGTAGAAAATGATCCATGGACGTTTTTCAAACCGACCTTCATGGATATTTTCATCATGTCAAACATGGCACATTTGGAAACAATGGAACGCTCAAACTTTTGACAATGTCCCTAGCCTTAGTCTTGGGCTCATCTCTATTAAAAAGAAGTCCCTCTTTTTATCTTTTAGATTTAAGTAGTAGTATATGAATTTTCTTTGAAACTGCACTGATTCTCTTTCATAACCTTTGATTTGCCTAGATTGCTGGCTTGTAAATAGTTGTCTGTACATTCCTGGTCTCTGTCTCTTGTAAATGTTGTTTCTATATTAATATGTTATATCTCGGGCCTACAGTTTTTCCTCAAATTTATATAGTAACATTACTGTGACTGCATAGAATATATGAGAACATAAATTGTTGGTATACTACAACTTACAAGTTTGCTATTCTTTTCTTGCAGGTTATCAGTCGATACGAAAAAGAATTTGGACCAAGAAACTTCCATTTTTTGTCTGGGAAGGTGGACTTTGTTGTTGTTGATGCTCAAACTCTTGATGGTATGCTACAACGCCTCCAAAGTTTTATATTGTATGTGCTACAGTGAACTGCACTACAAAGGAATCCTACATCAGTAGCGCAATAGAATCCAGATTTTGGTTCTTGAATAAGAGTAATTTGTTTTGTGTAGTTTCCTTTCATGCTTCTGCTTTGTATAGCTAAAGAACTGTTAGTATCTGTTCAGGAGGAGCCAAACAGAGCAAAGAAAGATCCTCTTCTTGGGAGTTCATCAAAACGCTATCATCTGGTATGGCACTCAATAGATGATTATGCATAGTGTTGCAGTTACTATCAGAGAATTGACTACTTTTACATCTTCTTTAAGGTAATGAATCAAATCCAAAAATTCTACTAACGCACATTCCCCTGTACCGACCTGACAATACTCCGTGTGGCCCACATCGTTCTTCACCTGCTATTAATCAGGTATGTTCTCTCAAAGTGTTTTTCCTCTGCTAATTAAAAGTAAAAATGATTTTTTCAATACCTTCCCTATGCTTTTTGTTCATATACAATGAAGATAAGTCTGTCATATGTAGCATCAGCGCCCCAGTCTATCCACTAATTTATTCTGCAAGTTGCAACACGTTTGTGTTTGAATTTCTGCAAGCAATTCGACCAACCACATATTTTTCTAGCTGATTGATTCTATTCTCTTACATTTCCAGAGGATATATAGCGCTGCTATGGACCAAGGAATCAAGTATGTCCTTCCTCAAGTATTGTTGTTTCCTGCTTTTGACTACCATAGCATGTAAACATTGTGATAATTTGACTGGTAAACTTAAGAATCATTGAACTCTCTGTCTGGTATATGTCACTGAACTCTCTCAAGTATTAGTTTGTTCTGGGAACTCCTTGTCGATATTCTTCTTGGTAAAAGATTTGCTAATGTGATTAGCCGTGCACCCAAAGTTCTTTCAAAATTTCTTGGTTGAGTGTTGCCCTATGTGTTCTCTTGAAAATCACTTCTGGTTAAACCAGTCCAAATCGCTGCCTAACCGAAGTTTCTCCATATGTCAACATAGGGCAAAGCCATATACAATTAACGTAAGTTTTTTCTGCAGGTATCAGAATTATCTAAGTAAACAGACTTCCGATCTTTTGCTAGGGCTGCTGAAGCCGGTAAGCTTCTTTTGCAATTTCTGGAGATTTGAGTCACATCTGAAAATATCTTGACTGGTCTTCAGACTCTTGTGCTCTCAGGGCATGACCACGACCAGTGCACAGTTGTCCACTCCACTCCTTTTGGGCCAGTAACGGAGGTAACAAAAATTTTAAGTTATCTTGTTGCTGCATGTTCCATGTGTTGCATCTAATGGTGCTGTTAATGCCACAGCACACCCTTGGGACAATTAGTTGGCAGCAGGGAAATCTGTATCCATCTTTTATGCTGCTATCTGCTGGGCCCCGAAATTCTACTGATTCTAGTCAGGAGGTTCTGACGAATCTTTGCTTCCTGCCTAAACAAACTCATATCTATATCTGGTAATGCTTCTAGCAGGCGCCTGCTGATTCTTTTGCTTATATTGCAGGAGATGTACAACTGAATTGTCTGACAAGTTTGTTTGTGTCTGCTGTTTCTGCAGGTATATCTTTCAGTTTGTGGTTACCATCCTTCTGCTGATGTTTTGGCCAACAAATGGTCTAAGCTCTCTTCCCTACGTGAACACATTTGTGAGCTTTATGAGTTCGGCGGGTGCTGACCTGTTTCCAAGAAGCAAAGAAAAAGATGATGCGGAAGATGGCGAATATGAAATGGTTTGGGATGCAGAGGGATCCATGCACCTGGTTAAAAAAGCGGTGGCAAGGCCCCCCATCACTAACTCAGACTCCAAAACTACAGGACGGTATGTGTGTATTTTTGTTTTGGTTAATGCTTTCAGGTACTTTGTTGAACGGAAACTTGCCTGGTGCTTCTACTAATAATAACTGAAAGATCTCTAATATTCATGGCAGAGGAAATGTTGTGGCAAGGCCAACTGCGAGAAAGCACCAACCTGAACCTGATTCATCATCTGTTCATGTTGAGATGGGATCTGAAACGGCGGCAGAAGATGGAGGGAAGGCGCCTCGCCCGAGCAAATGGAAAATAAGGACGGTCCTCCAGAGGCTGTTCCGCGTCGTTCAGTCGGTTGCCATTATTGCCGTGCTGAATGTTCCTCTATATATGATGCTTCTGTTTAAGGATTGGGTTGACCGTTGAGAGTAGCTTCTCAAAGCCTAGCTCTATAATTGCTACTGTATTTAGTAGACTGTTATACGCCGGATCTGCTCTTGCAAAGCCGATATGAAGCACCGAAATGTGCATCAGATAATTGATCATTGCCACTCTGTGCATCATGTTTTTGTTGTGTTCCTGAACCCTATGGCAGCACACCAAGTCGAATTCAGGAGAGCATCTCTCTGCTTCACATGTTCAGGTTTACCCATCGGCAACCAGCGACATAGCGTTTGGATTGAACTCGTTTCGATGCTTCTTTTTGTCAGCCTTGCCAGCGATTGCATGCACCGAATGTTTCTTGGCGTCTTGCTTGGTAGTGACATTCCCTTCTGGTTGGGAGACAACTTGTTCATAGGAAAGATATTTTGTGCAAGGATGTTCGGAAGATCAACATTTTACATGGCGGCTACAGATTCTTTCAGAAAATAATCGTTTCCGAACAGAACATTGTAGTATCATTTTTCTAGAGGACTTATCTTGTAAATTATATGGCCCACCATTCTCGCGAGCTATGTACATACGCTTCTGAAATGGCGTTAATTTCCATTCTAATAAAGGAGTTGAAGTATTTCATGCGCACTCTTAAGTCTCAACTATGTATGTTTTAAAAGTGTCGAAGTATTTCCAGTGCACTCTCATTTTATTCTTGTATCATCTTATACTTGTTACACTGATGGAATGGTTTGTATATTCATTCTTAGATTATCGTTCTTTCTCACAAAATGAGTTACTGACATAAAATGATCCGTTTTGCACCTTTTAATTCGTTCTCTTATTTTCATTTGGTCTATTTTATTTCAGAACATCATTTGACTTTGGTCCATATGAGTATGAGTATCTTCTCAACGAGACGCCTAATTTACGGGCCGGGCCTGGAGGACTCCATGTCTGGCCATTTTGTTCCTTCTACTCCACCGTCGCTTCGTCCTCGTCCCTGCACGTCTCTCTCGCCCTCCGAGTTCCCTCGGGGTCCAGGCGCCGGTGAGGTGGCGCTGCTCTCCACCATGGCGGTGCCGGGCGTGTCGTCGCGCCGCCTTTCCTGGACCGGGATGTCGAGGCGCATCCCGGCAGGGCAGAAATAGCGGACGCTGCAGGTGAAGTAGTAGAACTTGGCCTCGCTGAGCAGGACGAAGGTAGTGCCGCGGCGAGTACCGCCGCCGGGGTAGCGGTGGATAGGGTTTCCAGTGTCGCACACGTCGAACCCGCGTTTGTCCACCTCCACCACGTCCAACTTCTTGTCCGGGTGATAGAACGCTTGGCACGATGACACGAATTGAGTCAGCCGGAGAAACCACGGGAGAAAAAGAAAAGAAACGTCGAATCCTTGTACGTACCGAGGTAGTCGCCCTTGTAGAAGGGCCCATTGAGCTTGGCCCAGCTGGAGAAGTTATGGCGGGGCATCCAATCGATGTAGACCCTGCGCTCAGCCATCACCGTCGTCGCCGCGCACGCGGCCAGCGCTGCCGCCAGCAACAGCGCGGTCTGCCGGCAGCCCATCACTCCCTCCTCCGACTCCGAGCCAGAGAGCGGCCTCCAAACGAAACGTGCTGAGCGGAGCGAGAATGGGTTATGGTTGTGGCTGTGGCTGCTGTCTTAAAATGGAGGGTGGGATGCGTCCAACGAGGACGCGTGTGGCGTGCTTTCTGTGGCTTCTACACCTGCATACATAAAGATCATATACTAGCAGATATAAACCAAAAGCAATCTATCTATCCACAAGATAGATTGCTTTTGGTTGCCGATCTATCCACAAGATAGACTGCTTTTGGTTGAATATATGGCTATTCCTCCGCCGTTTGATTGATTACACAACATATCATCCATGTTGTAGATAGATTGCACAACAAAACGATTTAGATGTTATTGGTTAAATATATGACTGTTTCTCCACGGCTTGATTAGTTTATTTAATGCAGTTGCGTGCCTGCTGGCTAGCACCGCTTTGACTATGAACATGTAATGGCATCTTCAAACCCCACAAATTTCCTCTCGCATCCGTCCTTAAACAGGGGGACCGGTCACTAGTAGAAAACAGGGCTATGGTCCAGGCCGGCTCAGCCCATTAGTCCCGGTTCAGTGTAGAACCGGGACCAATGTGGGCATTGGTTCCGGTTCGTGAGCCCAGGGGGCCGGCCGGGCCACGTGGGCCATTGGTCCCAGTTCGTCTGGACCTTTTGGTCCCGGTTGGTGGGACGAACCGGGACCAATGGGCCTCGCTCCTGGCCCACCACCATTGGTCCCGGTTGGTGGCTTGAACCGGGACCAAAGGCTCCCCTTTAGTCCCGGTTCATGCCACCAACCGGGACCAATGAGGTGCCTATATATACCCCCTCGCGCAAGAGCAGAGCACAGTGCTCTGTTTTTTCTGGCCGAGGGGGAGAGGGCTTTGTGGTGCTCTAGCTCACCTCCTATGAACATGAGGTGTTCGATGGAATGCCCGAGCCACACTACTTAAGCTTTCTCCTCTCGAAGCTCGACCTTCAAGCTCCATTTTCCTTGAGATTTGTACACTTCTATTAATTTGGACACTTAATTTTATATAATGCACGCACAGATGAACCGGCAATGGATGTACGGTGACAGACACACCCGCGAATACATTAAGGGCGTGCATGAGTTTCTCGATGCGGCTGAGGCAAACAAGCAGAATGGTTTTATGTGTTGTCCATGCACTGAATGTGAGAATACGAGGTCTTACTCTAACCGGAAAATCCTTCACTCCCACCTGCTTTACAAGGGTTTCATGCCACACTATAATGTTTGGACGAGGCACGGAGAAATAGGGGTTATGATGGAAGACGGCGAAGAAGAAGAGTACGATGACAACTATGTGCCCCGTGAATACGGTGATGCTGCAACGGGGGGAGCTGGTGAAGATCAAGAGGAACCAGACGATGTGCCCAATGATGCTGCCATGGGTGAAGCTGCTGAAGATCAAGAGGAACCAGACGATGTGCCCGATGATGATGATCTCCGCCGGGTCATTGTCGATGCAAGGACGCAATGCATTAGTCAAAAGGAGAAGCTGAAGTTCGATCGCATGTTAGAGGATCACAAAAAAGGGTTATACCCCAATTGCGAAGATGGCAACACAAAGCTCGGTACCGTACTGGAATTGCTGCAGTGGAAGGCAGAGAATGCTGTGGCTGACAAAGGATTTGAGAAGCTACTGAAAATATTGAAGAAGAAGTTTCCAAAGGATAACGAATTGCCCGACAGTACATACGCAGTAAAGAAGGTCGTATGCCCTCTAGGATTGGAGGTGGAGAAGATACATGCATGCCCTAATGACTGCATCCTCTACCGCGGTGCATACAAGGATCTGAACGCATGCCCGGTATGCGGTGCGTTGCGGTATAAGATCAGACGAGATGACCCTGGTGATGTTGACGGCGAGCCCCTCAGGAAGAGGGTTCCTGCGAAGGTGATGTGGTATGCTCCTATAATACCACGGTTGAAACGTCTGTTCAGAAACGAAGAGCATGCCAAGTTGATGCGATGGCACAGTGAGAACCGAAAGAAAGATGGGAAGTTGAGAGCACCCGTTGACGGGTCGCAGTGGAGAAAAATCGAGAGAAAGTACTGGGATGAGTTTGCAAAGGACCCAAGGAATGTATGGTTTGCTTTAAGCGCGGATGGCATTAATCCTTTCGGGGAGCAGAGCAGCAATCACAGCACCTGGCCCGTGACTCTATGTATGTATAACCTTCCTCCTTGGATGTGCATGAAGCAGAAGTTCATTATGATGCCAGTTCTCATCCAAGGCCCTAAGCAACCCGGCAACGAAATTGATGTGTACCTAAGGCCATTAGTTGAAGAACTTTTACAGCTGTGGAATAGAAACGGTGTACGTACGTGGGATGAGCACAGACAGGAGGAATTTAACCTTAAGGCGTTGCTGTTCGTGACCATCAACGATTGGCCCGCTCTCAGTAACCTTTCAGGACAAACAAACAAAGGATACCACGCATGCACGCACTGTTTAGATGACACTAAAAGTATATACCTGGACAAATGCAGGAAGAATGTGTACCTGGGCCATCGTTGATTTCTTCCGACCAACCATCAATGTCGAAAGAAAGGCAAGCATTTCAAAGGCGAGGCAGATCACCGGAAGAAGCCCGCCATGCGCACCGGTGATCACGTGCTTGCTATGGTCAATGATTTACACTACGTAATCTTTGGAAAGGGTCCCGATGGACTAGCTGTTCCGAATGACGCTGAGGGACACGCACCCATGTGGAAGAAGAAATCTATATTTTGGGACCTACCCTACTGGAAAGACCTAGAGGTCCGCTCCTCAATCGACGTGATGCACGTGACGAAGAACCTTTGCGTGAACCTGCTAGGCTTCTTGGGCGTGTATGGGAAGACAAAAGATACACCTGAGGCACGAGAGGACCTACAACATTTGCACGAAAAAGACGGCATGCCTCCGAAGCAGTATAAAGGTCCTGCCAGCTACGCTCTTACAAAAGAAGAGAAAGAAATCTTCTTTGAATGCCTGCTCAGTATGAAGGTCACGACTGGCTTCTCGTCGAATATAAAGGGAATAATAAATATGCCAGAGAAAAAGTTTCAGAACCTAAAGTCTCATGACTGCCACGTGATTATGACGCAACTGCTTCCGGTTGCATTGAGGGGGCTTCTACCGGAAAACGTCCGATTAGCCATTGTGAAGCTATGTGCATTCCTTAATGCAATCTCTCAGAAGGTGATTGATCCAGAAATCGTACCAAGGCTAAGGAGTGATGTGGCGCAATGTCTTGTCAGTTTCGAGCTGGTGTTCCCACCATCCTTCTTCAATATCATGACGCACGTCCTAGTTCATCTAGTCGACAAGATTGTCATCCTGGGGCCCGTATTTCTACACAATATGTTCCCCTTTGAGAGGTTCATGGGAGTCCTAAAGAAATATGTCCGTAACCGCTCTAGGCCAGAAGGAAGCATCTCCATGGGCCATCAAACAGAGGATGTTATCG